GCCCCAGCGTCCGCCGAGACAGCGCGGCGCGGAACCGAGAGGCCTGCGCCCCACGGCTCGCACTGCTGGGGCACTGGGCAGGGGCCGGGTGGGCCTGGGACCCGGGCCTGCGAGAGGAGTCGGCCCCCAGCCATGGAAGGCTCGGGTGCCAAGCACGGCCCTGAGCTGGAGGCGGCGGGAGCGGGGGCTCGCGTGTCTTGGCAGAGGCCCCTGACCCCTGCCCACCACCTCCTAGCCTCGGGATGCTCCCTTTCGCTTCCTGCCTCCGCGGCTCTCTACTGCTGTGGGCGCTGCTGCTGCTGCTCCTGGGGGCAGCGTCTCCCCAGGAGTCTGAGGAGCCGGACAGCTATACGGTGGGGACCGTGGGGCCGCTGGCCTGGGATGGGGCGGGCAGAGAGGATGTTGGTACTGGAGTGGCAGCTGCGGGGAACCAATCTCCCCTTCCTGGTTGGTGGGTCGGCTGGAGGCTTTTGTTTGGATCCTGCTTGGAGGGTGGCAGGGCTCAGGCCCTGTGGTTGCTGGCTGGTTGGAGGAGACCTGGAATGAGCACTGGCCACCTCTGGTTCCCTTCCAGGAATGCACAGATGGCTATGAGTGGGATCCAGACAGCCAGCACTGCCGGGGTGAGTGTACCTGCAGGACCCACCAGCCCCGGGAACCTAGCTGAGGTTCAGGTGTTAACCACCACCTCCAAGATCTGTGGCCAGAGCCTAATGGCCTGCTCTCTACCCAGCTCTGCTGGGCCTAGGCCAGCTCCGGTTCTCTGGGGGCTCAATTAGAAGTGGCTCTTCCTCTAATCTACCCCCTTCCAGTAAGCAAGCAGCTGGGCACTACCCAGGAGAACCAGGTTGCATACATCTCTCTGAACCACAGACCTAGCCCAGCTCTTTATCCTGTAACTTAGAAGGGCAGTTCCACAGCAAAGGATCAGAGGCCTGCCCATTAGTCTTGGGCTGAGCTAGGGCTAGGGCCTTGAGGTGGGGCTGAAACCCACTTTGAGGCAAAAGAATTGGGACAAATAGGGAACAGGGGCCCCACCTGCAGCCCTGACAGGTCCTAGGCAAGCAGACATCCTTACCCACTTTAGAGAAGGCCGAGCCAGGGCTCCTGCCTCTCACTACCTCCAGGGCCAGCCCAGATGACTGGCTGTGCCCAGCAGGCCCCTCTCTGCAGATGTCAACGAGTGCCTGACCATTCCTGAGGCCTGCAAGGGCGAAATGAAATGCATCAACCATTATGGGGGCTACTTGTGCCTGCCCCGCTCGGCTGCCGTCATCAATGACCTACATGGCGAGGGACCCCCACCACCAGTGCCCCCTGCTGAACACCCCAGCTCCTGTCCACCAGGATACGAGCCGGATGAACAGGAGAGCTGCGTGGGTGAGTGCCAGCCACTCCAGTACCCAGGCTTCCAGCCCTCTCACCAGGCATCCTCTCCTGATCCTCCCTTGCTCAAAGCCCATTGGGCTCTTCAGGGAGGCACCCCCACTCATTCAGATCCCCCCCCCCCGTGATGCAAGAGCTCTGCCCCCCTCCCCCATCCCTCCTTCCCCAGCCTCTGGCTCTGTCTGCTTTAAGATCTATATCCCACCCCAGGGAGCCATGGGCCTTGAAGAAGTGAAGGTCCCGGTGTCAGTGATATTAGGGGGTGGGCAGAGCCTTGTTTAGCTCCATGATATGGGGTGTCACAGGGTCAGGGTGCCTTTGGAGGCTCCCAGGCTGCTGTTTTTTCTTTCTTTCTTTTTTGTGCTGTGGAGAGGATTTAATTCTTGTGTTCTTGCCAGCCACCCATGTGCCCATGTAAACGTTATCTGGTGTGTGCCACCACTCAAGCTGGTGGCCCGTGGGATTGTGCTCAGAGCTGAGTGATGTCTTCTGCAGATGTGGATGAGTGTACCCAGGCCTTGCATGACTGTCGCCCCAGCCAGGACTGCCATAACTTACCTGGCTCCTACCAGTGTACCTGCCCAGATGGCTACCGCAAGATCGGGCCAGAGTGTGTGGGTGAGTCCAGGGAGTCTTTGTTCTGGGCCTTAGCCTGGCTCTCATTCTAGCACCTGCCTCCTCTTCCTATCTACTCCCTAAATCACCTCAGTCCCTTATCACCTGTGGGGGGGTGGAGGGGCACACTGTATGTGGGCAGGGGGTGTGTCAAGGCTGGCCTGGCTCCAGCCCAATCAGCTCCTTAGGTAAAGACAAGATGGGTCATGGGTGCTGAGGCCTTGAGTTCTAGCTGACCCAGGCCCTGCCTGACCTCTACCCTCCACCCCCCTCCCCTATCTCCATCCCAGACATAGACGAGTGCCGCTACCGCTACTGCCAGCACCGCTGTGTGAACCTGCCCGGCTCCTTTCGCTGCCAGTGCGAGCCAGGCTTCCAGCTGGGGCCCAACAACCGCTCCTGTGTGGGTGAGGCTGGGCTGGGCCAGGCTCCTGGGTCCTGGGAAAGAAGGTGTGAGATGAGAGAACGCCTTTCCTAAGATCAGCCTAAGTGGAGGGGGGCTGTGGGCTGCCCTGTTCCTTTCACCCCTCCAACTGTTCCTGGCATCTTCAGATGTGAATGAGTGTGAGATGGGGGCCCCGTGTGAGCAGCGTTGCTTCAACTCCTATGGGACCTTCCTGTGTCGCTGTCACCAGGGCTACGAGCTGCATCGGGATGGCTTCTCCTGCAGTGGTGAGTTCAAAACCTGCCCTGAGTTTCTGAAATTGCCCTTCCAGGCCTTGCAGTTCACCATGCCTCCAGCAGCCACATGGTTGTTTTGACCCTTCCGTGTCCCATTCTCCTCACCCATACACCACCATGCCCTCCATCCTGCGCTGGTCGCAGGGCACTCCAAGACTGGTGGGCACCTTCAGGTGCAATTAGCCTTCTTCTGAGCTGGCAAGACAAAAAGGATATGGGTACCATTCTTCCTAGCAGTCAGGCTGAGCTACATTTGAATCCTGCACTAGAGCAAGCCATTCGTCTCTCTGAGCTTGTTCCTTCTACAAAATGGGTTGGATAGGGGATGAATAGGGACAGTGATAATGGACCGGCTTCATCAGATCTCCAGCAGCTGAAGTTGGAGAGAAGTTTATTGAGAACTTACTCTGTACAGGATACTTGGCTCTGCATACTTGGTCTTTTTTTTTTTTTTTGGTCCAGTCGTGGGGCCTGAACTCTGGGCCTGGGCGCTGTCCCTCAGCTCTTCAGCTCAAGGCTAGCACTCTACCACTTGAGCCACAGCGCCACTTCTGGCTTTTTTCTTTTTGCTTATGTGGCGCTGAGGAATCGAACCTAGGGCCTCAGGCATGGAAGGCAAGTGCTCTACCACTGAGCCACCTTCCCAGCCCTGCACACTTGGTCTTTGTGTCACCCTGTCAACAGTCCTTCGACATAGGTTTGATTTTGTTGTCCTTTCTCTTCAAACAAGACATTAACATGACCATTTAGGTTTATTGGGAGAATTGTAAAACATATAAATAAGTTTTGGGTGAATTCCTGAGAAGTTTAGCCTTCAATTTAGAGAGGTTAAGTGAATTTACCTAAGTTAATACTCCAAGGATGAGATGGGCTGGGGCTCAATCTCAGACTTTTCTCTCCATGTCACGTCATGTGTCCTTTTTTTTTTTTTTTTTTGGTTGGTTGTGGGGCTTGAACTCAAAGTGTGAGTGTTGTCCCTGAACCTCTGTGCTCAAGCCTGGGGCTCTACCACTTAAGCCACACTACCCCTTCCAGTTTTTGAGTGGCTAATTGGAGATGAGAGTCTCATGGGGGCTTTTCTGCCTGGACTGGCTTCTAGCCACAATCCTCAGATCTCAGCCTCTGAGTAGCTAGAATTGCTGGTGTGAGCCACTGGCACCCAGCCTCATGTATCCTTTCTGTCACACTTTGCTGTGGAGTAGAAGCTCGTTGATGCCTGACTGCATAAGGGGAACAAGAGCAGAAAACAGCATCCTATGTGTAGCTCATAGCTGCCAGAAGGAGACTGGGTGCAGACTGATTGTGGGTTGCAGGAATTGGACAAGTTGTTGAGAACTACAGCAGACTTTTCTGATCTGCTAGTTTAACCTGTTCATGTTACTGGCAGGGAAATGGGGAAATGGAGTTGAATGTATGCTCAAGCCTTTAGATTTCAAGTTCTGTTTTTTTTTTTTTTTTCCCCCGGTCGGTCGTGGGGCCTAAACTCTGGGCCTGGGCACTGTCCTTGAGCTCCTCAGCTCAAGGCAAGCACTCTACCACTTGAGCCACAGTGCCACTTCTGGCTTTTTCTGTTTATGTGGTACTGAGGGGCCTCATGCGTGCAAGGCAAGCGCTCTACCACTACGCCACCTTCCCAGCCCTTTTGTAAAAATTTTAATTGTTTTTTTCTATTAATGTTCTTATAGACCTGGGACAGATCAAAGACTTAGGAGATCTGGGCCAACCTATAGACATAGCTTTCTTATTTATTCACACACTTGTTTTTGTAGTACTGGGATTGAACTCAGGGCTTGATACTAAAGAGGCACACAGAATACCACAGAAGTATACCTATAAACCCTTCAAACCTTTTATTATTATTATTTTTATTTTTTGGGTCTGGTCGTGGGGCCTGAACTCTGGGCCTGGGCACTGTTCCTCAGCTCTTCAGCTCAAGGCTAGCACTCTACCACTTGAGCCACAGTGCCACTTCCGGCTTTTTTCTTTTTGCTTACGTGGTGCTGAGGAATCGAACTCAGGGCCTCAGGCATGCAAGGCAAGCGCTCTACCACTGAGCCACCTTCCCAGCCCGCAGACCTTTTATTTTTGTGCTGATATTGTGGCTTGAACTCAAGGCCTGAGCACTGTCCCTAGTATCCTACCACTTGAGCCACAGTTTCACTTCCAGCTTTTTGCTGGTTAACTGGAGATGAGTCTCATGGACTTTCCTGCATGAGCTGGCTTTGAACCATAATGCTCAGATCTCAGCCTCCTGAGTAGCTAGGATTGCAGGTATGCCTGGCCCCTCTGACCTTTCTTTGAGCCCTCTATCCCCCTCCTGAGCCTTGCAGGGCTCCTCTTGTCCCTTCTCTCTTCCCATATCCAGGGCTCTTGTCCCTAATTGGGCCTGTGGGACTCAATGGTGAGGGCTGCCCTGGTCCCGGTATCCTCATCCCCACCCTCCCTCCCTCAGATACAGATGAGTGCAGCTACTCCAGTTACCTCTGCCAGTACCGCTGTGTCAATGAGCCAGGCCGCTTCTCCTGCCACTGCCCACAGGGCTACCAGCTGATGGCCACACGGCTTTGCCAAGGTACAGGGGGCTAGGTTGGGCGGATGGGTTTAGGAGCTCATGTCCCTGATTCTAGCCCCTCTGCCCTGGTACAGACATTGATGAATGTGAGTCAGGTGGGCATCAGTGCTCTGAGGCCCAAACCTGTGTCAACTTCCATGGGGGATACCGTTGTGTGGACACCAACCGTTGTGTGGAGCCCTATATCCAGGTGTCGGACAAGTGAGTCTCCGAGATGACAGGCTTCTGTGGAAACAATTCCCAGGCCTTATAGCGGGCTAGTGCACCTGAGGCTGGTGGGAGTTATAGTCTTCTGCTGGGATTCCCAAGAGGATCTTGGATGGATGGGCCAGAATCTTACTGTCTTCCATCTTGGGGCCTCTAGCCGCTGCCTCTGCCCCGCCTCCAACCCCCTGTGTCGAGAGCAGCCTTCATCCATTGTGTACCGGTACATGAGCATCACCTCGGAGCGCAGCGTGCCAGCCGATGTGTTCCAGATACAGGCAACTTCTGTCTACCCCGGGGCCTACAATGCCTTTCAGATCCGTGCAGGAAACTCTCAGGGGGACTTCTACATTAGGGTAAGGTGCTCTCCTACTCACCCGCCCCCCCCCCCAACATGCATTATTCTAGGAACAGTGAGTGGGAGACTAGGTTGTTCCACCACTTCCCATCCCAGGAGGCGGGACTGGTGTGTGCAGTGGAACATTCCCAGGGTCCCAGCCTCTAAGACAGTTCTGACAGGCAGTTCATCACTGGAGTTTGAGCCTCAGTATTGGCCTCCCTTACCTGGCCTTGATTTCTTCAGCCACAAAACAAGGAATGGCGTTGAGATTTGTGTAGGAGTTGGATTGGATCCAGTTCTGCTGGTGAGCTAGCTGAGGCTGGCACGGGTCCAGGTGTGGCCTGCAGTGTGTGTGGGAGGGCCTCAAACCCCCTGTGTTCTGCTGTATTTAAGCCTTAAGAGGCATTTGGCATCAGAGCTTGCTTTTTTCCCCTTGGAGTTGAGTGCTTCGGGGCTGACAATGCAGCTTAGTGCTACAACATGTGCTTAGTCTGTAGCAAGAGGCCCCGGGCTTGATCTCCAGCACCGAAAGAAGAAAAAAAAATACTGATGGCTTTGAAAGGGAGTCTAGTCTGTTCCAATTACCAAAGGCTCCATCATTCCAACCCTGGCCTTGAGTCATCAGTTAATCTTGATTAGAAAGCAACTAGCTGGGAGGGGTGGGGAGAGATCCAGTGGGGATATTTTGGGGGGCAGAACCTTAGGCTAGAAGAAGGATGTGTGTGAGAGCCTGGGTGACAACAGCCTGGCCAGGGCTGCCCCTCCCCCACTTCACTGCCCTGTGGCGGGAAGTGAAGTGGAAGTGACACTGGGACAGGGTCCTGCCTGGCACAGAGGCTGACGACCCCCATGTCCTGCCACCCACTGTGCCCTGCAGCAAATCAACAACGTCAGCGCCATGCTGGTCCTCGCCCGGCCAGTGACAGGCCCCCGGGAGTACGTGCTGGACCTGGAGATGGTCACCATGAACTCCCTCATGAGCTACCGGGCCAGTTCCGTACTGAGACTCACCGTCTTCGTGGGGGCCTACACCTTCTGAGGAGGGGGGGACCCTTAGAGAGGGGCCATCTGCCCCCTGTAGCTGAGGAGCCTGGGGCTCAGAGATGACTGTGTTCTGCTAAAAAGCAAGATGCTGTGAAGGATAGAAAGGCAATAAAGGGAAAAAGGAGTCCTGGTGGCTGAGGTAGGCGGGCAACCTCAGCTTGGGGAAGGGGCCGGGCTTGGGAGAAGCAGGCCAAGCCCACCTGAAGGGAGCTGTGTTCAGGTTGAGGGGCTCCACTGAGGTGGGCCTGAGGGCTTCAGAATCACCCCAGGCCTCATCCCAGCACCCTGCTTGGCTGACGTGGAGGGGGGTGAGAAACCTTACCCAGGACATGGCCAAGAAGCCCAGAGTTGGAGTCCTAGCGCTGCCTCAAAGTAGATATTTGTTTAAGCCCCGCTCGCTTCCTGGGCCTGTTTCACAATCTACAAAACGAGATGATGACTGTGACTGCTTTCCTAGCTCCTCTTTTCCACGTTATAGAACTTCTTATCAAATGAACTTTTATTGGACAAGGGACCATCTAATTACATAAAGTAGATTCAAAGCTGCAATGCCCATTGACTCCATCTCTCTGACAAGGAAACTCCAGATTGTCCTGCTCAGCTTCCCAAGTGCGGTTATTATGGTCATGTGCTACCACACCTGGACAGGAACTTGTTCTTAAAAGCACTGGGTAGGGCTATTATCTGTAGCTCAGTGGTAGAGTGCTTGCCTAGGATGCCCAGTGCTCTGGTTTCTCAGCACTGCAAAACAAAAACAAAAAACCAATGGACTCTACCTAGTCTCACTCCTAAGTTCCTGCATATTGTATAAGGGTCTGGGGGCTCGGCATTTCCTCCATAACACATAAGGCTGCAGACACAAAGGTTTTTATTATAGCCCTAAAGATCTCAGTTGAAAGGCTGGTGAGGCTGGGGAGAGAAGGAAGATGAGGACTGGGGTCTATCTCTTGGCACACATAGCTCAGGTCAGGGGGCTGTAGCTGCAGTAGAGCTGGGACAACGTCCTGCTCAGAGCAGGTCCCAGGTTCCTGCAGGAAAAGAAAGGCAGGAGACGGTTGGCCCAGGGCCTAGGCTGCCTCCCTCCAGATGAAGGCTCACCCTCACCTCTGCAGACGCCCACACTTGATGGTGCTCAGTAGCGTCTCCTGCTCCTTGGGGGTGGCACAGGCGTCATAGGCGGCCAGGAGGCTGCGGGTGGGGTATACGGCGCTGACTATCTGTACCACCACCATGAACAGGGAAGTCTGGGGAGTCAGGGTCTAGACACTGCATATTTTACTAAGCCTGATATTTGAGGCCCTGCTCTATCCTGTCTGCCCCTCTGTTCCTGGGGTACGAACCAGCAAAGCTTCCCAAAGCTCCCCATCTTCCTTGAAGAAGCCACCTCCTGGCACCAGGTAGCACACATCCCTGTCTTCCCCCGCAATTCCATCAACCTGAGTTCCCAGGGTTCGCCTGGATCTGCGCACAGCCAAGCTCACTCCATAGGCGCCCTGGTGAAGGTGAACCTCACACAGGTAGCGCATACCTGGCGGGAGTGCTGTATCGCTCCAGGAGTGCCGCTGCCTTCTCCCCACTCAGCCCTCGCACCTGCATCAGCTGCCGGGCAAACACTTCTCGCACAGATTGGGCCTAGGGTTGGGGAGGCTTGGGTCAGGAGCAGGCTGGGCCCCTGGGCCACCTAAGCAGAGGCCAGGCAAGAGCAGTACCTTGTTCTTGATGGCTCCTGCGTTGAAGTCTCCGAAGGTGAGGAGTGAGCAGAGCGGGTTTGGGGAGGGCCTCTCCCCTGGCTTGGGATCCCCCTGGGCTCCCCAGGGGCGGCTGTGCAGGGTGCGGCCCTAAGGGAAGAGGTGACTTAGGCCAAGCTGGGCTCTAAGGGGCAACGCCCAACCAGTGCTTCCCAGTCCTGGGCCTCCCCAGGCAACCTGAGAAATGGACATCCCCCCCGCACTGCCTGCCTTGGCACAGCGAGGCTCCACTGCCAAGCAGGAGCCCTCATCACCTGGTAGAGTCTCTCCAGGGCCCGGGTCAGCAGTGCCAGGTAGGCGGCTGACTCCTTAATGTCAGCAGTGCGCTTCACGAAGAAGCCATCGATGATCTGTGCAAGAGGAGAGCAGATAGAGAGCTGGCTCCCGGCTTGAGGCAATAGCCATGGCTCCTGCCAGCCTGGCCCCACCCTCCCACTGCACCTGGGTGTTGGTGACAGCCTGCAGCAGCGTGCTCTCAGGAAGGCTGAGGTTATGGACTGAGCCATGCTCCTCCACCAGATACACAGGGTGCCCCAGGCCGCAGCGCTTCAAGCGGAACTGGGGAGGTGGAAAAGGGAATGGGGTTGGGGAGGGGTGGTCAGGCCCAAATGCCCAAGTGACTGGGCTGTTTAGCATGCCCCACATTCGAGCTTGCAAGGTAACCCCAAGTCCTGCCAGTTGCCTCCTGCTCAGAGAGGTCTGTGCAACCAGTGTTCCTACTCCTAGGGGAACCCATCCTTTAGACCCCTAAGGCTGGTGTATAGCCTCTGCTGTTCTATTACTGGGGCCCTGGCCTTAGTGGGATGGCTGCACTGGGTAACAATAAGGTCTTTCTTTTTTTTCTTTTTTCGTGTTAGTCCTGGGGCTTGAACTCAAGGCCTGGACACTGTCCCTCAGCTTTTTTGCTTAAGGCTAGTACTCTACCTCTTGAACCACACCTCCACTTCTGACATTTTGATGGTTACCAAAGATTAAGAATCTCAGGGACTTTGGGGGGTGGGGCAAGGTGGGGGGAGGGCTTGGCTTTGAACATGGATCCTCAGATCTCAGTCTCCTGAGTAGCTAGGATTACAGACATGAGCCACCACAGCCACCCTTGGGGTCTTTAAGATGCTCCTCAGCTCAAAGGAGGCCAGAGGTACTTTGATTGGAGGAATCTTCTCAGCAGTGCCCTCTGCTTGCTTTGGGCTGAAGACGGGCCGGGCAGGCAGTGGGAGGTAAGGCCTGTGAGCCAAGGCACCTTCTGCTCCCGGAAGCGGCCATCCATGATGCTGCTGCACAGGTCATCTAGCCGCTTGCGCTCCACAATGTGGTCCAGAACTAACTCCCCAGGTCTTGCTGCCAAGAAGCCAAAATGCGTCCTCTTAACTTGTGACACCCCCCATCATCAGGCCTAGTCTCTGACCCTTGCCCATCCATAGACCCCCTCCCTTTTTTTGTGCTAGTACTAGGACTTGAACTCAGGCCTGGGCCTGAGTTCTGTGAGATAAGGATCTCACAGACTTTCCTGCACAGGCTGGCTTGGAACTTTGATCAGATGACAGGCTATAGCTAGGATTCTAAGTGTGAGCCACGGGCACCTGGCCTATCCACAGCCTTTTACCTGGATCTCTGGGCTCAGTCTCCTGTGCCACCCACACAAAGTCCCCAATGTGCAGTTTGCGCACTGTGTGCGCCACACGCAGCCGCTGCAGCTCTCGGAGCAGCTCTGGCCGGTGTCCTGCCCTGAAATTACAGGGATGGAGGCCAAAGTCAAGGTGGTCTACTACAGGCGCTCCCCCCCCAGCATCTACTCATCAGCTTCACCACTATTCCCCCCAGCCCCCTTACCCTCGAGTCTCTCCAGTGTCCACGCACAACAGCACCCTGTACTCTCCAGGTCTCAGCTCCAGCAGGGGCTGCTGGCCCTCCCCTCCGCTGGTGCCACTACAAGGAAATGGGGCGGAGTGTGAAGCCAGGGGCGCCCTGCGCACACACGGCTCACAGCTTGGCTGAGCTGCAGCTACAGAATTAAGGATGTGCTGCTGGCTTCGTTTGTAGGAGCCCCCACCCCCCCTTGCCCCAATTCCCCCCTTCTTCCTCACAGCTCGGCGGAGGCTGCTCTTGGCACTGCTGGTTCCTCCCCAGGAGGCTCCTTAGGCCTGGTGCCCACATTCACATTCAGCGAGCTCGAGCTTTCTGACTCTGCCAACTTCTGGGCCAGCTCCAGGCCCTCCGGGGTCAGTGAGAACCTGGGAGGTGGAGGAGACACACATAGCTCTCTCTCTTCACATCTGGCAAGGTCTCCTGCTGCCCCTAGTGAGGTGGACTTCACTCCGCCTTGGCCTCCCTGCCCAAGTCCAGCAGCTTCCCTCTTCCACTGTTTTCTTGCCTCTCAGATCAACTTCCTCAGGACCTCCTTAGTGTCACTTCTAAAGTCTGCAGTATGTGTGCCTCCGTCTCCTTCCCCTTGTCTTCACTCATGCTGTTCCCTCCTTTCAGCATGCTTCCTGCATTTCTACTAGGGCTCCGTACTTTTAAGGCCAATCCTCTCCACCTGCGCAACAACCCCAGCTCATCTTGCATTAGCTATTTTTCAAGTAGTGCCTCAATTATTATTATTTTTTCCCCCAGGCTAGCCTGTACTGTGATCCTCCTGTTTATACCTCCCACATGGCTGGGAATCAGAAGCACTCATTACAGGTGTGGCTTTGTTAACTTTGTGCCTGCTCAAACTACAATTCCCCAGTCTCTGCCCCCAGAGTAGCTGGGATTACAGATGTGTGCCACTGAGCCTGTCCTCCAATCAGATTTAAAGACATGCCAATAATGCCATGTCCCCCCATCAAAGGCTTTCTGCTCCTCTAACAATGGAGCTCCCTCTGTTGTTTTGTTGTGTTTTTTTTTTGGGTCTGGTTGTGGGGCCTGAACTCTGGGCCTGAGCACTGTCCCTCAGCTCTTCAGCTCAAGGCTAGTGCTCTACCACTTGAGCCACAACGCCACTTCTGGCTTTTTTTCTTTTTGCTTATGTGGTGCTGAGGAATCGAACCCAGGACCTCAGGCATGCAAGGCAAACGCTCTACCACTGAGCCAACTTCCCAGCCCCTCCCTCTGCTGTTTTAGTTGCTCATAGGCTACATTTTTCCACAGTGCAGGCTCCTGAGATGGGCTAGCCTCCCCAACCTCAGCAGCTGGGGATAGGCGAGCCTCACTAAGAATGCCAGAATGCCGTGCATGCTCCTTCATTCCTGCCACCAGTATCTTCCTGCAGCAGGCCCATACCTGGCTGGCTGGTGTGTCCTGAGGACCAAGTTCCTGTGGAGCAGGCCACGAAGGGCAGGCCAGGGTCGAGTAGTCCCAGGGGCTACCTGGAAATAGGAATAGAAACAGAGCTCTTGGTACTCCAGGTTCCTGTGTCCCTCAGCCATGAGCCATACTTGGACAAGGCCTCACGCCGTCCTTCACTGCCATGAAGGAAAGACTCCATCCCAACTTGGGTGCTCACCTTGGGGGCCTTCTGGCCACACCTCTGCAGCAGTTCCTCCTTGGTTAGGAAAGAGTGGCCATCAGGGTTCTGCAATCATGGTGGAAAAGTTAGGAGCTGCTTTTTAACTTCCCTGAGTGGCTGAGAAAAACTTACTTGCCATCACCAGGTGCTTCTTGGAGCCCACAGCTCCACTCATTGCCTCATCCCACCCTCCGCTGGGGTGGCCAGCCAACTTACCAGGTGCTCCTGGTAGAGCTGCAGGAGAATAGCTCGAGCTCCTGAGTGCCGAGCCGGCCAGTAGCCACCAGAGCCTCCTGCTTGGGGTTGAGCGGAAACCTTAAAGGGACAGAAAGAATATGGACATGAATGATGGTCAGTCAGTGTCAGCTCAATCCCTGGCAAGGGCTGCATTTTTCACAGGCCCATGCAGCCTGTGGATGAGACAGAGACCAGTTGTAGGGCAAAGACAAAGGGTGGAGGTTTGTGCCTGGCCCTGCCTCAGTTCTGCCACCACTGCAAGAGAACACAGCAAGGAAATAGCTCCCTCTCTGTTATCAATATCCCCATTTACAGTCTCAAAGAGATTCATTGAGGAATCTCTCAAACCAAGTCGTACTCTCAGCGCTCCCCCTTTACCCCCTCCTCACCGGCATGTTAGAGTCCTGGTCTTGGGCAGGTGACCCTTCCATAGCTGGACTCTTCTCTCCCGACGGGGGGCCTGGAGCATGGTCACCTGCAGGAGAAGAAAATCAACCTTGAGTCTCAGCTAGCAGAGTCCGTCTGTTTATGCTGTATTTGAGATCTATGAGGTTCAGAGAGTGCCAACCACTACCCCAGGCCAAGCGGCAGTTCCTCCAGGAGTGGGGGAGCTTGAAGCCAAGGCACCCAAAGTGGGCGCGGAGGCTGCCCCTGGCAGGCCACCCGCTGCGGCCCGGGGCGCTCACCGCCCGACGCTCGGTGCTGCTGCAGCCGCTCGTCCAGCATCCGGCAGAGCCCGTCTCCAAAGTGCTGGAGGATCTTGGCTTCCTTCCCGCTGCGCAGGGGCAGCGGGTACCGCCGGAGCGAACGCAGCGCCTGGCGGGGCAGGGGTGCGGGTCTCGGTCAGAGGGAGCCCGGGCTCGGGCGACGCCCTCCCGGCGCCGGCAGTCCCGGTACCGGACTCACCCTCTGAAACACGAAGCGCGTGCGGCGCCCTCTGCGGGCCGCCTCGTCCCGCCACTCGGTCAGCCAGAGCACGAAGAGCGGGTTGGGACAGGCGGGCAGGGGGCGCTTGCGGCCCAGGCGCACGGGCGCCGCCATGAGCCCCGGGGCTGGACCCTCGGCGTCCCACGCCGGTGCGATCGCGCGGCGCGGCAGTCAGGACGCGAACATCTGGGCGCGCGGGGGGGGGGTGAGGCGAGAGTGAGGGCAGATCCTCCCCGAACACGTGGCCCCTGTTGGGCACTAACTAGACGTTCGCTCCCGGCGCCTTCTCTATCCCCGCACCACTCCATAAGAGACCCAGCGGGGAAGGGTCGCTACCATCTTCCCTCTCCCCACCCCCTCGGCTTCCCCAGACCCCACCCCCCTGCCAGGACCCGGCCTTTGGAAGCGTCCCGTCCAGGCCAGGAGCTCTGACCCGCCCCTTCCTCTCGCCTTAGACTCGAGAGCAAGGGTGGGGGGGAGCCTCTCCGTGTTGGAGAACGGAGGGGGACAGCGCCCCCTGCGTCTGGGAGGACTGTCACCCGAAATTGGTGTCCCGGAAGATTTCTAAGCCTGTCAGTTACGGCCTCACCCCCACAGAGGTGACAGGTGACCAGCTAGGCTGGAGAAGAGTCGGACAGGGCAACACAAGTACAAGTATATTTGTAGATGGGACATCCGGGAAGGAGTGTAGGGGATGGCACAAAGGTAAGACAGGAATAGCTGAAAGATCTAAGAAGAAATGGTGAGCCGTGGGACACGTGTGTATGTAGTAGGGGGGGGACACAAAGGGACATGCCCCCATGGCCCAGGCTAAGTGTAAGGGGCGGCGGGGCGGGGTGGGTGTGTGTGTCAGAGAATAAGTAGAAGACCTATAAGAGGTGCTGGGGTTCCTGGAAGGTTGGGGAGACCAGACTGGCGTGTGATGGCATCCCAGGAAGCTGGTTAGTAGACAGAACACTTCGTTTTCGTGGCTCACGGAGGTTGACGATCGAACTCTTGCACAGGGGTCTCAGGTTGAAGGACAAATGTAGGTGAATTGGGTACAGGTCTCGCCTGGGGTTTCAGCAGCCCCAGGCCGCCAGCTGTCAGGCCAGAAGTGGGCGGGCTCCAGGCAGCGAGGAGCGGGGCGAATCCTAGCTCCAGGCCCGCCCCTGCCCGGCTCCCGGAGCCCGCCTCCTTCCCGACCCGGCCTTATAAGGAGCCTGAAGCCGGAGTTGGGGCCGGCCCCGCCCCCTCTAGTCTCTTGTCCTAATAAGGACATCTAGGGCATCCCGCGGCCGAGGGCGGAAGGATCGCGTCTCCAGGGTAACTACGAAGCCCCTTCCCCCTCCTCGTTGCTCTGGGAAACTGCGAGGCTCGCAAAACGGTGGAGCTAGTCTTCTCTTTAGCTCGGGGTGCTGAGGGGACGCGGCAGAGAAGGGGGTGTCCAGCGGCTTCTTCTACCTGCTGCAATCGGAGCTTGGACGGTGGACGCTGCTGCCGACTACAACCCCCAGCATGCTCTGCGAAATACCTCCCACTCCTTGCGTTGCTCTCCACTTGCACGCTTTATTCTGCTTGTGGTACCAACGCCCTTGCTCCGACTGTTTCCATTGCCCAATTTTCTTGTAGTGAAGCTAACTAAGGTCGGTCGTTGTTCTAGGCCAACGAAATCTTCCTGGAAGTTCCCCACATGTTTAATTTTAGGCTCATGTTCCCATAGAGATAGTGTCTCGGTTTTTCTGAGTGTTAGAGTGACTAAATTTATCAACTTGACAACTAGGTTCGTTTTTCTCTTCTCTCTGCCTGGCAAAGGGCACATAAGTCTTGAATGCACACACACATACACATACCCGTCCTGCTTCACTGCATTTGCCAAACGTTAAGAACCGAGCTCTTCTTTCAGATTCTCTTGTAGCTATTCCCGTGTGTGTTTCCCTCTTATTCTATATGACCTGTTCCTTTTTGTGAGTGTGCCGTTTTAGGGCTTAAACTCAGGGTCTGGGCACTGCCCCTGAACTTTTGTGCTCAAGGCTAGCACTCTACCACTTGAATCACAGCGCCACTTCTGGTTTTTTGGTGGTTAATTGGAGATAAGTCTCACTGTCTTTCCTGTCTGGGCTGGCTTTGAACTGCGATCCTTAGATCGTAGGTTCCTGAGTAGCTAGGTTTGGCTCGACTGTTTAATTGACAAGAATGACTTTGCACACGGAGGGCGTAAAGTTTGAAGATACTTTCAAACTAGCAATTCGGCTTGTTTTAGGACCGGATTCCAGGCCAAAGCTTTGTTTCCAAGAAGCGAAATCCTAATCACCAATATTTTTACAGTAGGTTTCCAGAAAGTGCCAGGTGGACCTTAGGAAACCGTTTCCCGGCGGGAGAAGGAGCCGCTCCGTCGAGGATGATTTTCGGGGCACTGCGCTCCGCGCTGGGCACCTCCCTCGGCGCCCCGGAGCGGTTCCTGGTGAGCCCCACCAATAGGCCCGCTCTACGCGCACAGCCCCGCCCCTCGGCCTACATTTCCCCGCAGGCCCTGCGGAGCCGCGAGGCAGGCGACACCCCCGGCTATTACCCAGGGAGCCCGACGACCGTGCGAGACCCTCGGACTCCATTTCCCGTCGGCACGAGCAGGGAGCACCGGAAGCCCGCCCCGCCCCTCATTGTGCGGCTGCTACTAAACGGAAGGGGCCGGGAGAGGCCGCGTTCAGTCGGATCCCGACAGCAGCTGCAGCAGCTTTGGTTTTCCCAGGCTCTCCTCGCCCTCTTCTCTTCGCTTTCGGAAACATGGTGAGCGGCAGGCCGCGGCTCCCGCGGGGGAGGCGGCTGCGGGTCGGTCCCTCGGACGCCCGGGGATGGAGAGGGCGACCTCGGCCCTCCCGACCCCCCGGCAAGACCGGGTCTTGCATCGACCGGCGGG